TATAAATTTATTTATTTTACTATATTATTAATAATATATATATATATATATATTATTTTTAATTATATCATATAAATAAATAAGTTGAGTTATCAAATTTAACAGATTTTTTTTAAATTTAAGTCCAACTGTTTTAAATAAATAATTTTTTTAAAAGTCAAAATCCACTATAACCATCTACATCCACAATCTTCCCTACCCATACTCCTGTGACTGTTCATCCTCACTTCATATTATATTTTGCAAAACATAAAATTATAATTGTAAGTAACTGCAACATAAGAATCACCACATTGGTAATTCCTATCAAAGGAAAATTCGTGTTCAGTATATTTGTGGCTCTTGATAAGCCTCTCTCCTGAATTACCAGGCTTCATTTGTCTAAGGACATTTTTAATGATAATTTCTTTTCAATTAGCATTTCTGAAAGCAATTTTGAGAGAAATACAACATTGGAGGATACCCGACCCAATACCAAAACAAGGACATTTAACAACTGTGAAAAAAGATTTTACATTATTTTTTTTTGGAGCCTATAAATCACCACATTCATAGATTTTACATTAATATATTTTTAAGTATTTTTAATTTAAAAAATCGGGAGTTTAATGTATTTACACACGCATAATGAAACGTGACATTTGCAAGATTCTTTTGAAAAATGTGACATGCTGAACAGAGGTGAAAAATTAATTTACTTATACATCATCAATAAGTAATTTTATTAAAATCCATCTATTACAAAAATATAATAATAATAAATTAGCTCTAATTTATCAAATTAATTTTATAGTCAAAATAGTAATTCATCCACTACTTTCTTTCAAAATTTATTAGATTACAATAAAAAAGAGTGTATTAAATTGAGATTTTAAAACAACATTTTAACATGTAAAAAGTCTTATAAATTTTGAAAAATAGATACTCCCTCTGTTCCTTTTTATTTGCAGATTTTTAATAAAATTATCTTTATATACTTGTTATTTTTAAGTTTCAAGATAACATTAATTCCTACATTATCAATTATACCTTTAATTTTAACTTTTAATTAATTTACAAGATAATTAGTATATATTTATTATAAAACAAAAATAAAAAAAGGCATAATAAAAAACATCAAAATTATTATATAAAAAATAAAAATATATATTATATTTCTTACTATGTATACCTTAAACGCTTATTATAAAATAATTGAAGCTATATAAAAGAATGAGAACAGGTATAAAATAAAGAGAAAAATAATAGAATAAGAATAATAACAAAATATTTAATTTTTAAGTCATTTTCATGATATCAGTTTGACACCTGTAATGTTGAGTCACTAATCCCCAATGACAACAATGTAACAGATTTATTAGCTAAAGATACGTTAGGAACCCACTCGAATGTCTCAAGACACGAGCACACAAACATACCAAATTTGTAAAAATACAAGAGTAATGTTACAACAGTTAATAAATTTTTTAACAGATTTAAATTAACAGCATTTTATTGAGAAAACACTACTGGGAACAAAAATTGAATCCTGAGTCGTGCTTGCAGACTAATAAGACAATAACGGGATGTTGAAGACCTAAATTCTAGGTTAAAATGAATGCCTATATTGCTTTATATCTTATTTAAACTTAATGCACAACATAAAAGGCATACATTAACAAGCACTCATGCGGCTAACATACACAATTATATAGCAATCATAAAAATATAATTTCTAAACAGATTTAACCATCACTTTTTCCAATATTAACAAACTTCAAGGTTTAGTTGAAACTACAAACAGTATCACATCAAGGGTATCTTAGAATTAACAGCATTATATGGACGTTCTATACACTTCGGACTCAAAAAATAACTTTCCAACACCCCCAAAAAAAACCCCTTGCTCCATGTTTAAGTTTTCACCAAGACAACGACAAATCTAAAAGAAAAATTCTCTTAGAGAGCAAGGTTCTATTTACTATCTGCAATGATCAATATTTTCTTTACTGAGATCTGCTATGATTTATATACTCCATTCCTTTAAGAGTTAAATTGACAAGACATTAGTGAAATCAGTTCGAGCGGTGAAAGGCCTACGTTAAAGAATGCTACAATGAATGCTGATGGGTTAGAATAACAATCATGAATGCAATTGATGTATGAACTCTACTTAACTATGTCCTGATTACAAAATATCTTCAGCCTTTGGAGCTAGCATGCTTGTTCCGTTATTCTTCTTTCCCTTTCGAGGACAGTTGAAATAGAAAACAACAGAGCACCTGATCAAGCTGTCATTCCTACAGTGATCCTGTCTAACCACAATTTTTTTTATATATATAAAAAATTAAAAATCATTTGCCACCAATCCTGCAGGAAGAAAAACAACCCTACAAGAAGCTGGCATCTGATGTCCTCCCATGTCCTTTCAAAGAAAATCATCAAACCTGCAAGAAAGATATACAAGTATAAGAATCTTGCAGATATTGGGTGTAATGTGACAAATGTACAACCAATAGAATTAGACACTCACAAGGGACATTATGACTTGACAGATAAATGTTAGACAAAATGTACAAGCATGAACTACTAATAGAATTGAACACTCACAAGAGACAATGTAACAACTTGTCTACAAGATACCACAGAATCACAGAAAAAGGTTTGTTTCCAAGGATCAAACATAAGAAATTTTACACAACCTTGCTGATTTTAACTACAAGCTATTGTATTTTGAATAGAACAGGGGTTAATACCGCTTCAAACTTGCTGATTCAATACTCTGTTACACTAGAAGGCCCCGCACCAGCTACTGTATTCAAAAAATTTCAGCTTAACCCAAATAGACTCCTCATATCAAAGAAAAACCTCTCCTCAGAGTATCTGGACCCAATTTCTGTAAACTTATTTATCTAACTAGCTGTAACAATATGCATCTTTCCACAAAAAGATATGCATCGTACCCCTAGCACGGTGAAGATTTCATCCATGACTGCCAACAGTATTTAATTGCAAGGGATCTGCAATGACAAGTGAAATTTTCACTTCAACCATTTATGTAAAACTGACATAAAAACTACAAAAAAGGTTTTATGTCATCTTTTTAAAAAGAAGAGGGAACTATAAAAACAATGTGGATGTTGTTATTAACGATGTACATATCCTGAGGTGAAATTTGACAACAAATTCATTAACTAAATATAATCCAAGGACTTGAAACATTTCTTTAGTGGTAGTTATACTTAAATGATACTGATAATTCTGAGATGGTTTTCTCAACCTACGGGGTGTGCGTTGTATTGTTAATAACCCAATGAAAGCATCCACTTTGGTGGGGAATGAGTGAATTTCTCATTAATAAACTTCACAATAAATTAAAAGAATAAAATAAAATTAGACTAAAAATTTTAAAACTATTTAATAATTCATTTTATTAATTTCAATTGAAGGATATTCATAAAAATATTTTATACATTAAGTTGAATTTATATAAAGATTTATTGTATAATTTTTAAACCTTGCAAAAATTTATAAACTAGATTCATACAGGAACTTGTAATTTATCAATTGGATTGCTAAAATTAATATAGAACAGGAGTTATTGAATGAAATACGTCTACCAAAACTTATTCTTAAAGTAAGTATTCCTCCTCTTTCTCTCTCTCTCTCTTGATATATATATATATATATATATATATATATATATATTACTATTTTAGATATGTCTCTATTGTATAATAAATAATTATGAATAAATATTCTTAAATATTATAGTATTTTATAGTCTTATGATAATATTATATGATTAGTTATAAATAGAACTTAAAAAAATCCCTAATTTTAGGATTATTTGCAATGAAGAATGACCCACTTTGGAATGCAGGACCAACAACCACTAACAAAAAAAGAAACAAAAGAAACCCTAGTTTATTTTTCTCTCCCAGCTGCTGTCATTTTCTTTCAGAAAAAGTAATAAAACCCTAGTATCTTTCTGTTCCTCCTAAAACATATCTGCCAAATCAGCATGGTAGTCAACCAAAGTACAATTGGGGCATTTCATAGCATCTTCAATGATGCAGATGCAAATACGCCCCAGGAGTGGGTTTGCAGCAGCTTCACTTCAAGCGCTGACATGAAAAGAGAACAAAACACTATGCAACAGCATCTTTGTCGTGCCATACAGCCATTCCACCACTATTTTTCTCAACAATAATTAATACATACAATATCTCCTCCAATCTTCACCCTGAACATGATCTCATTCTAGTTCTAGGTAGGAATTATTTCTATCACATTCACAGTGCAACAAAACAATTCTTTAGATAAAATGAGAAATATTTTCCTGTATCATGGAAACCAAACTAATAGATCCAGATATCATAGTAGCCAATCCTGGACCGCAACACGGCCGACTTTAAAACTGGGATAGCAGGATGACTGCTAGTCTAATTTTACTATATATGTACATATATATATATATATATATATATATATATATATATTTAATAATCTTTCTACATATTATTTTACTGATTTTAGGATTAAATACATTTTTAGTCACTAGTACTTTCTAGATTTTCACTTTTAGTGCCTAATCTAAACATTGACTGGCCATGGTCCATGAACTTTGATTCTGTTATTACTTTTAGTCCCTCACGTTATTATGCTTCGTTATCTGGTGAGTTGGATGCACACAAACCGCTGGTGGGACAAGTGGTTGACATCCCTGACGTGGCATGGAGCATGGATCAAGTAGAAATTTAGGACTAAACACATTTTTAGTCCCTAATCTTTTCCAGATTTTCACTTTTAGTCCGTAAACTAAATGTCAACTAGGGATGGAAATAGACCGAGCCTTAAACCGGGATTTATGGCCCATCCTCTTTAAAGTCTTGCTTGGCTTGTTTAATGAAAAGACAAGTTTAGGCTATTAAAAAAGTCTATTTATATAAAAAGGTAAGAATTAAGCTTATAGAAAAGACTGTTAAGCTCGATAGGTCAGCCTATTTATTTATATAATATAATAAAAAAAATATAAATGACCAAATAAATTTATAAAGCAAAAATAAATTATCAATATTTAAAATATTTTTTTATACAATTATTTTTTTTCATTATAGATTCATAAGCTTACATCAACATACATGACTACACATGAATTGTCCCTTTAATAGTAAATGATTCAATTTTTCCCTAAATTTAAATTTTAAAATAATATTGAGTAAATTATATTTTAAAAATAATTTTGTTAATTTTTAAAAATTAAGTTTATTAGCTTAATTAACATTAATAATTTAAATAAGCTTTTAAATAGGCTAATAAGTCAGGCCTATAAAAAAAAACCTACGATCGATAATAAGTGAGGCTTGGCTTTAATTTTGGAAAATAAAATCAGCCTTTATATTCAAGCCTAACCTATTTTCATTCCTAATGTTGACTAATAACGGCTCCTGAACTTGGAGTCCATGCTGTTTCTGTACTTTGTTACCTGATGTGTTTTATGTGACCAATGTATGGTTGTCAGCTGTATTAAGTGTGTGACTTGGTCTACGAGTGGACGTACACATCAGCTGGTGTTTTTTATTTTATTAAATATTATTTTATTATGTGTAATCAAACCTCAAATATGAAACGTGAATCTTTATATTGGATGAGAGCCCAGAGACTTTTCTTCTATAAGAGTTTGTAGGAATTTTTTTAAGTTTTTAATTAATTCATTTTTAATTTTTTATAATTATTTATGAATTAAATTTTAATATTTTAAAAATAAATTATTTATATTAAATCTAAAATATAATTTATATGTTTTAAATATCTATTTATTCAAATTTTAAACATGATTTATATATTCAAACACAATATTTATTTGTATATAATTTGTTATAAATGTTAGTTATGTATAATAAATATTTAGTCTATGCATTATACAAACTAAAAGACTAATTAGAATTATTCTAGAACTTTTATAATTTGTAATTTGGAGTCGTAATTGAGACAGAGGGAGCATGTGATGTGTCATCATGCCCATGCTCTCTCTACTGCTGCTAGGTTTCTAAAAATGAGATTGGAGACATAATTATTTATTAAATTATTATTATCTATTTATATACATTTTCTCTCTATATATTTATAAATTATTGTTATATATTTATATCTATTCCATAATAAATAATTATGTCTTAATATTTTTTACTACATTTTTTTAAATTCTTAAATATAAGAGTAATTTATAGTTTTACCATAATATATTATTAATTATGAGTAAAAAAAGACTAATTTTAGGATTTTTCAGGATGGAGTGGCCTAATTTGGGATGCAGGCTCAACACCCACTCTCAAAAAGAAAATAAAAGAAACCCTAGTCCCGCATTCCTCCTCCCATCAGCTGCCACCTCCTAATCTTCTTCTTTTGAAGAAAAAGAAATCATCTCTTCCTAACCAACAAGAGGTTGTTTGCCAGAAGTTGCAGAACATCCCTGCCTCCCCAGCATAGTATTCGATCTAAAATACAATGGGAATATTTCATAAGGTCTTCAATGATGCGGATTTAAAAACACCCAAGGAGCAGAAATGCAGCTCCGCAGCCACTACTGCGGCCTCTCTGACTGCAACGCAAAAATGCTATGCAACAAAATTTTATCGCACCGCTCCACCGTTATTGTAGCTGCTATTAACTACTATGGCAGATATACTGTCCACCAATTGCCTTTGACCACAGCATATAACTAAATAGGAATATAGGATATCAAGACTAAATCTAAAACCAAGTTGGCCATCAAATCCTCTAATATTAGGAAACTTTATGTGCAGTAAATGTTATGACATACACACTGGACAAACTCATCATCCAAAAGTTAATATATTATATATAATTAAAAGAAAATGCATGATCTGTTCAATTGACCTTTTATAATTTCATTCTCTAGGTCAATCAACAAGTCCGGTTTAAAAGAGGCAAACATACCTCGCTTGAAGGTTGGAGAGAAACAGGATTAGATAGTTCCTCTGCACCATCGATTGCAGCATTGCTTTCAGTGCGAGACAATGCATTAATCTTCATATGGGGACAGATTGGAGCAGTTCTATCAAGACAAACATGGCACTTAAATCCAATAAGTTGTCTGGCATTCTCCGCGTTGAGCCCAAAAGCATCACCATGAAACCAATCTGTATAATAGAATAAGTATGTTCAAAATATATTTTGATAGATGCTCAAAAGGTGTAGTAAAGTTGCAACAAGTGTTGGCCTCTCCTTCCCCCACCCAGCCCCCTTGCCCAAAAGGAAGAAAAACAGACAAGAAGAAAAGTAGTCACCTCCACAGATTTCACAAGCAATATAACACAAAGTGCACTCATTTCCACAACAAAGGCTGCATTTAGGATAATCAAGAGAGACAGAAAAATCATCAGAGAAGACAACACGCTTTTTCTCTTTAAACAGCGTTACTCGTTCATCATTTAGCTTTCTGGACAACTGAAGACCATTATGCCAGTAACTGCTACAGATTTTTGCTCTCTTCTTAAGTGCAGTTATTACTGCCAACTTTTTATGTTGACTAGTGGTTTCCTTGGACTTCTGAGAGGTCAGCTTCGATTTACTTTGCTTTCCCTTTTTACGCCCCACATTCTTTTTACCTTGCTTTCCTTTTTTATGTCCTCCATTCATTTGATTATGCATATACAAGGATTTGGCCTTCCTAGTAGAACGGCGAAGAGGTACACTTGATGGGATATTCTTACTGTTTCGAGACCTCACCTGTCGTATCTTGCTCAATGTCTTTTTATTGCCCTTGAGGTTCACTGATTTGCAAACTGAAGGAACAGTTTTACGTTTCTTTGCTTGAATCTTCTGCAGTTTTGAGTCAATTTTCCTTTTATTAGTATTAGTCTTTGCAGGCAACCCATCCTGACATCTGTGACATGAATATGTGCTTCCAGTAGTCCTTGTCCCACCTGATTTCCTGACATGCCTCTTGTGGAAATATCCTATAAATTATAAAATAATAATGAGGAATAGAAACGCAAACAGTATATGAAAAATAACCAACATCCAAAGTTAACCTATTCAGTATTGGAGTCAGAGTTATGGTAGGTTTGGCCTCACTTAAATCTTACTTAAGAGTTACTTTAAAGTTTAAGTTAAAAATTAAAACCTAAAATAATTAAAAGTTATTTGTTAATTTTCATTTTTCAACATAAAAATATATTTTATAAAAAAAATTATATAACTAAAAAGTACATTTATAAAATTAAATTGTGGAAAATTAATTAATTATTTACAATTATTTTTATGATAAAAATATTAATTAATTAATAAAAATATTTTAATGATGATTTAAAGATAGTTTATTATATATAATATTAATAGATAGTTTTTTAAGAGCTTTTATAAATAAAAAAAAGTGTTTGACCTAGCTTTTACTTTTAAGGAAAAAAAAACTTCAAAAAAATTACCGAGTCAAACGTTACCTAGTCTATTAGAGGTCTAAACTACGTTGTTTAAGTGGTTTTGTTACAGTGCAGTATTTTAACTTTTTTAGTTGTGTTGTTGGTTATTTCAATTTTGTATGAAGTTTAGATTTTGCCTTTTTATGCTTATGAATACGTTATTATAAATTTAAGCTTAAATAATTAAGTATTCCCTGTGTTATGAACTAATGATGGTTTTTTCCCCTTATTTCTGCTATATTAGATGCATAGATAAGAATTTATATGCTTATATTTGGATCTTATAATTTTAGTAGAATTTTATGTTATAAGTCCACGAGTTACAATTCTGTGACCCTGTTCCGAGTCGATCTAGAATCTCAATTTTGACTACGTTGACTACATCTTATGTTAAGACATTGAAATTAAAACATCAGATTCAGTTAGAAACAAGTTATACATTAAAATGGAATATAAAAAAGAGTTAAGAAAATTGTGAAATAAATAAAACCATTCCCTGGATTCAAAGCAAAATAATGAGAAATAAGGGCCAGATTAAAAGAGAGAAGCACACCTTTGCAATGAAGGCACCTCACACCATCCCTGCCAATTTCATAAAAAAAAAGGGTATATTTATTAGTATGTAAATTGTCAAGTAACAAATTACACATTTTAAAGGCAAGATCTCAGTGCATTTGAAAGTTGCCTGTGACGAGCAACACACAAGATAGATGCATAAACAAGAATCAACACATAATAATGATTAATAAAAATTATTAAAAAGAAAAAAAATAAGTACAAGTAAAGATAACACTCAATCCTCTAATAACACAGTGAATCAAATTATTGTGGTTCAACATATATAAAAAAATAATTATATATATATATATTCGGTCCACAGGAGAAATATAAAAATACCATATACTTGATAACTATTACAATGAGTGGCCCTCAATTGCTCAAAGCACAATCACAATATACAAAAATCCCTATTGTTGTGAAAATTTAATACACTCCACAAAATCTCCATAAAAACTTATTGTCGGGGTTGACTCATGTTGACCAATCTTTGACAAATCTCATCTTTAGCCAAACAATTATAATGCATCTAGAGTCCTATTTTGTACTGGTTTAAATGCATAACACTAGTTAAAAGCTAATGTTCTAGAAACACAAATATATCATCATACAAATGCATGAATTGTTGTTATAATGAAAGTCCAACATATTCTCTATAATGCCAATATTAGATTTGTTTCTTAAGAAGTATCTCTCAGGTATATGCTCCTTACAGACAAACAGTATCCAAGTTTGAATTTTAGTTTTCATTTCAGGTTTTGGGAAGATTTGGGAAGGAATATTTATTTTGTAGACTCTTTTTCTCAGCCTTGTAATTTTTCCTCTTTAGTTAACAGACACAGGAATATTATCAGTAAACTTGAATAAACATAGTCCCATCCTCAAACAACAAAAACAAAAGTATCATGTACAACATTAAAATACAATAAAGAAAAGAAAACCCAAATATCAAACAGCAGAAAAGGTAATTATCAAAACACAAGAATACCACAAATACCTCATTGCAATATCTTTCTTGCAGTGCCCGCACTGATGATAATCAGATCTTTCCAATCTGGTAAACAAATATGAAAACCCCCTTTCTTGACGAGTTTTCTTGTTTACTCTACCCACCTCAAGAATTTTTCCGAGTTTCTTATCAGTGGACTTGCGAACAATTCTTTTTTCCTCAAAATTCTTTAGAAGATGCAATGGAACATGAGACTCCTCCAGCCAATATTTTTTTCTCTCACTAGAGGATTGTTCCAACAAAGAACCATGTTTAATAACAACATCTGGAATAGCCCTTCTCTTCCCAAAATCAATAAGGTATTTCACAGATTGCCCTTCAGTGCACTTCCTGCGTACAATTGCCTTTTTGAACAGCCTGACTGATTTTCTAGATTCCTTGTCCAACACATATAGGGGATGGCTGTTCTCAATATCATGCCACCTTATGTTTGAATAAAGCTCTCTAACCTGAAAACATAAATAGTTGATCTTAAGATTAAAACCTATTTCATTACACAAAAATAAGACAAGTTCATCAGCTTCCACCAATTATGAAATGTCAGAGCGCAACATTGAATGAAAGATACTAATAAAACATGTACACAATATCAAGATTTCAATGTTTTTACATATATCACTCTAATTCTCATCCTCATTCTAGGTTTCCCAGGTTAATAGAATGTTAGATCCTCCCTTGACTTCACACGAGCAAACAATTATTTGTGTTCACTTCAAGGTCCTATTCAGTTTTAAAACTCAGACCAACTGGTTCAATCGGAAATTCGACCTATGTCCATTCCATTCATCTTATTGGATCGGATATGCTATTCACTTGGTGGTTACGTCTTTGACTCAGCCTCAAACCAGTCAAAACCAGTAAATTTGACTGATTTTCAGGTTATTCAAACTCTGTTCCATGCTTCCCATATTTACTTTTCACACTGCACAAGGCACCATTTTTTACCTTGCAAGATACCAACACGCAACACATTTATGCTTTCAAAGAGTTTTTTTTTTTTTTCTTTTGCCGTCCTCCACAGTAGTTATATGAAAATTCAAATTTTAAATTTTAAATGGAAGCAGGTAGGATTCGAACCCATATAAGATTTAAAAAAGAACTTAACCACTTCTCCAAAGCATATATTTAACATTTATGTGGCAAATATTATTTATATGCATACATTCAATATAAATTTTATAAATTTAATAAATATTAATTCATGTGGTTCAAGTAGTGACCCATCAACCCTAACCCTGACTGAGTCAATAACCTGTCCGAGTTTTAAACCACTGGTCCTATTCAAATTTGGATGGCTGCTGTAGTCATGTTACTTTATTTTTTTTACTCTTTTTTTATACAATCACTATAGCAAAATCAATGACAAGCAAATCTAATTTCAGTCTCTTTCTATGCCAGGGAGACGAATCTAAAATCTCCTCAATAATCAAGCCCTTAGAATAGATACTAACTAAACAGATATGTTGGCCCCACGTAGCACACTCTCCAAATATTTATGCTTAGTGCAGCTCAAGTTTGGAAACAACAGTCCATTAATGTTTCCAACGTCCAGAGGTCTTGTACTTCAGAATAATGGTTGATGAGAAGGATGAATATTAGGCATGACCATTCATTTTGTAACAATTTCACTTGCTCTGTTTTAAAAGATTTGAATAAAAATAAGGAGACAAAAGTTTAGTAACAATTTTTTCCCATTTCTATCATAAAAATGGTCAGAGCAAAACCATTTTAGTGGCATCTCTTAACTCCCAGCTTTCTTCTGGGACAAGGATCATCTCTGCCATGCTCAGCTCATGGATGTTACAATGGAAATTCCCAAAATTTGTTATGCAAGAGAATAGACAACATTGTTGCATTCTTAAACCTTACTGTTCTTTGTTTATTACTTTTTCTGTTTTGAATAATTATTAATCTCCTATTTGTATTTCCCCTCTTTTCTTTTGAACATAACAAAGGATTGTTTTATACCAAAGCAAAAATCATCTTCAACAAGGCAGGTTATCATACCTGTAAAGCAAGCTGCTCAGCACTAGTTGACATCTGAACAGCAGCTCGCCAGGCAACATATCTGCTTCTCCGTGCAAAATCTGAATTCTCAGGATATAAAATGCCTGGTATCTTCCTACACCCACCTACAGAATTTCACAATTTCAAAGAAATTCATATAAAAAATGAAAAGAGGCTCCTAACATAACCACTATGCATGTCATGCTAAAGAGAACAATTTGCATACCTTGTCGAGCAGCCTTGGTAACCAAGGAGTGAGGCAAAACCTTCCAATTAAACAATTTTCGGGAAAGCCTACCACCTCTCCACCAGTACATCCCCAAACCACTAGCAGTGTTTGAAGATGAACTGGTTTCAATATCTGAATGTCTGGCCCTTTTCCTTCCAATACCATGCCTTGACGATGAGCGTGATGAACTGACTACAATATGAGCAGAGGATCCCATTGTAGCAACAGAATCCACATGCTTTAACCAATCTGCTGAAAGTCCAAGAGGCCGTAAATTGGATTCTAACTGCCAAATCCAAAATTAGACAGTGTCAAACATTTAAATAGAAATATTCAGAGAGCAATGTAAATCGAAAAGCCATGTGATGTTAGCCAGCTTGCTATAAAAAGGTGTTTCTTTTGTTGCAAGTAGTCTTGAGATTAAGTAATTCTACAACATAATTTCAGCTTCTTTAATAGCAAAGGCGTTATAAAAAGCATAGTGAGAAAATAGTAAAAAGATATACATCTATGTACATTTATGGAGACATATACATATTTATTTGGTGTATCATGAAGACCCACTCCACCTGGTTTTGTTTATTTATTTTCTGTCAATCAGTTATATCACTTATGACTAGCCAAATCTAGGCACGAGCTATCTAGAACTTAAAGCCCAAGTCAAATAATCAACACCTAATAAACAAACAAAAACCTAAATAAGAAAAATAAAAGAAAAGACCACAATAACTACTCTAAGATCCTAATTCAAAATTAATGGGAAAATTACAAAAAACAAATTCTTGTTAAATATTTCAATTTCCAATTCAGGAACACTTAACCGCTCAAGTGGTTAACCATGTCCAAGAAGACCAATTGCGACTGATTCTTAGACTTCAAACCACTCTCTTTGATGATATCGTATCACAATTGTGTCTGTCTTGCTCAAAATAGAAGACCATTTATGTTCATATCATAAGGAGTCGGTTTGTTATGGAATAGCTCATTAGGAATTATTGGTGAACAATGACTGTACCTTACAGTCTTGCACCTTGAAATGGTTTCCAATGATAAGTTTCAAAGCTTCCAGAGGATAAAGGTGTCAAGGATAGGTTCATGGAATGCCTACATCATCAAAGTGTCTCTTTTATCATAAATTAGAGAGAGCTCTGTTTATGGATTCTCTATGGTGCTCTGCTAAGGTTGGTCTAAAGGGAATTTCTATTACAGATATGCAAAAAGATACAACTCTGCTGTATCTTTGAGCCAATTTGGCTCTAAATTTTCCTCTTCAATCTTTTTAGGATGATTTCTGATCCTTCTCCCTTGACATGTACATTATCTCTTCTATTTATATATTCCTCATCTATCAAATAAAAACAAAGGAGAAAAGGAATAAAACCTTTAGCACAGCCCAAGTTAAAATACCAATCACACACTCATGTGCAAAACACTATACTTAAATTAACAAAAAAGATTATGTTCTTATTTGATTTCCATGAATTGTAAAAAGAAAAGAGCTCTAAAATGATTTGACTAATCGTGTCAAACTAGTATCTCATAACTTGGAACCAGACATAAAACATTCATAGTATTAATGTCTATGATAAAAATGATAGACAGATAGAAAGCTTATCCTTACAAGAAGCAATAATTGTTTAACAGGAAGAACATCATATGACTTCAAAAGATCCTTATGCCAAAGATTAGTCTGATGCAGATTCAACCATGGACCCAACAAAAGCCCACGTAACCGAACCTCAAGAGAGAAGATCTGACATATGATATCTCTAAGATGTCCATTCTGAATCTTCCTGGGTTGAAGCCCAACTAAAGTACTATTAGTCTTAGACACTTCCCAAGCAGGCTTCACCACAGAATTAAACAAGCAATCCCTGTCCTCATTTGCAACTTTGCAAGTATAGCACCACCCACATTTTTCTTTTTGGGCAGCTGCACTCAAGTTCTGAATACTTGGCCAACAGAAGTTAGCAGATTTTTTCATAATGACTTTTGCTTGGTCTGAAATAATTTCTTCTTCAGACATTGCAAAAATCTTATTCATTTTTTCAGGTGACTTGCACATCAACTCCTGTGCAACAAAGGAAGCCGTTCGGGCAAAGCTATAATAGTTTATGTAGTCAATTCCACAAGGTGCTTTTGAAGTATCCTTATTGTCTGTTGAGGGGGTACTGCTAGCACCTACAGATCTTAAGTTTATTTTACGTCCCACGTCTAAGCTGGAAGATGTCAAAGAACAGTCACCAACAGGATGGCATCTTTCTGGTATTCCTAGCTGATTCAAGGAATCATCACATCTATTGGAATCATTGAGCCCATATATCTGAACATTCTCGATGCCTGTTTTCATCTGTGTGGTATCAGCTGATCCTTCTGAAACAACACAAGGACTTTCTATGGTGGTCGTTGAATCTAGACGGTTCCCAGACTTTGGAAACTCTTGGCCAAGATGCATACAACAGTCATTAGTTGAATTATCATCCAACTTTCTTTGATCATTAGCCTGATTCTTGTCCAAAAATGTCTCTGAAGTCAAAGGTCCTAAAGATGTATGCATAGTAGAATATTCTCCCTTCATCTGCATGTTCTTACAGGAACTATGATTAAAGACACTATCCCCCATACTCAAGTTAGCAGGGATATCCCAATGCTTATAGATAGCAATTAATATGCCTTCGTATAAAGGATCCATAGATTTTAGAGCTTCAATTACTACATGTAGATCATTTCTGTGGTAGTAATTGAACGATGACTCTATTTCAGATGAACTTGACCTGCAAAGGTTTCAGCAATAAAATAAAGTGAGAACATACTAATACGATAAAAAGAAGCACAGAACAGTTTACACTTAAGACATCTGAAATACTCAAGGACATTATCCACTTCAAACTTCATACTCAATAGGGAAAACCAAATTTACCAAAGAGACGGTTTGTGATAGAAATGATTGTCAAATAGACAAGGACAAGAAAACTGTAGGTAATCTAAATCTATATGTTGTCTACTAGAGGCCCTGCTTTAATGTTGTATAATACATTGGGGATAATAGTGGGAAGGGCTTCCAAGCAGCCTGGAAATTGATCAGAAAGTCATACAGCTATTTCCATTAAAGGAATTTGATGGTTACGTATGAAAGAATATTCGGCAAGCTAAGAGTATAAGACAAGTGATGGACACACTAATATGCAAGTTTATCCAGAAAAAAGATATATAACTACACTTACACCAACAGGTAACCACAGCTGTTAAAATAGAGACGGCCATCCAGATCAATCCCTAATAAGTCTGCTCCTCGAAGTGACCTCCGTGATTTCATCCAAGCCCTGTTTTTGCCACCACACTCAGGGCAATACCAGTCACCTTCAGGCAGACTGTCACTGACAATTCCCACACATCTTGAGTGGAATGCAGCAGGGCAACCATCACAGCATATTAAACTACCATCCATCTTGCAGAGGCAACATTCATCACTGTTCCAGTCAGTTGGGTTATCCACATTCTCCTCGGTCAAGCAAGAGCCACCAGACACATCCATTACAGCTTTTCTTTTCTTGCAAGTGTCAAAATACATATTCTGATCAAAACCTATATCAGCCTCAGTTACCAAAGATCTTCTGTTAAGCTCTGACCTTATGGCTTCTGATTCAATCATATCATCACACAGGTACTGAAGAATTTCAACCTTCACAATTACAGGTTGTTTGTAGTAATCAGTTCTGAGCATTAGGTGTTTAAGATCAAAACCAGTTTTAAATCCTGAGCCATGAATCAAAAGGTACTCAGCCATGAAAATAGGCCATGTGACCAGGTCCAAAAAATCCCAGTTAAGATTCCTGCATTGAAGTAAAATATATAAAAATGTAAAACTTATAAAGTCATAAAGATAAAAAAAAGTCAAACAGATTGACTAGTATAGTAGTATTTATGCCCAATGAAAATTTGAAATAAAATATACCTCAGACAACTGGAAGCAGATTGGCAACCCTCATTAGAAAGGAATTCCAAATGCTTTCGCAGAGTTTGCAAGATAGAAACATGAATGCTGTCAAATAATATACTTGGGATTTCAGACTTTAGTGCAGCTACAAGATCCTCCAACTCAAATGGACTCAAAAACAAGAAAGTACTGAACGATCTTAAACAGGCATAAATAGAAAAAAGTTCAAGAACAGGAACATGATCTAAATTCAAACTTGTAGAAGACGGGGGTAATTGAAGCTTTGGAAGAGGATCATTGCATTGCCCGTATTTCTGAGAATTAGGGATTAGAGGCTTTTCTTCTGTTAAGGCACTGGTTTCCATGGACAACAAAGGATCTTCAGTCACCTCCACCAGTACAGTGCTTGAAACCCGTTTTCTAGCTGATGCTCGACGAGAACTCCTCCTTAAAACTGTCTCTGGTGACGCTTTCAGATTATCTGATACTTTTCTTCTCTTCCTTCGACCATTTCCTGGTTCACATGGACTACCTGGATCGTCTTGGTATTCATGAATTATGGCAACACCGCCTTCAGAAGGACAATCCATTTGCTGAACCTCCACAGAATCAGAATCCCTAACAGAAATAGCATTTGAAACCTGATGAGAACCAATAGCTGCTGCATCTTCTTTGCCATCATTGCCTCCATTCTCTTCAACCAAACACAAAGAAGCATCTTCAGCTGCATACACACCAGAAACATGAACTACCTCCAATTTGACAGCATCAGATACATGATTCAAATTACCTTGAACACCATCCTCTTTGACGGAACCCATACTAATATTTATCTCTTCCTTTCCGAGCTGTCCCATCTTACCAAACAAAGCATCACCTAGGTCAGGATGTCCATTTCTGTCAGCATCACACTGAGTTTCCTTAACTTCCTCACACACCTCCACGTTTAAATCAAAGTTACACTCCCGCTGTAACGTCTCCCCTCCCGAACAACCAACATTCGGGCTGACATCATCCTCAGCACACACATCCAAATTTAAATCAATGCAATCTCTCCTCTTCAAACCATCCTCAGTGTTCGACGGCGAATTAAATGCATCATTCAAATTTAAATCCTCGTTAAGATTAAGACCAGCATTCAAATCAAGCCCATCATTGACACAATTACCATTAGCAACAACATTCTTATCCAAACTATCTTCCAAACCAATTTCCTTACCCTCTGTCTCTCTTACCCCGTTTTCCTTCACAGTCCCATTAACATTGCCCATAAGATTCCCTCCATTCCCAATTCCCACATCCAAGGCTCTCTCAAACCCACCACAACCTAGTTCCAAATTCTCACTAGCACCAGCAGAAGCATCACCATCCAAAACCCCCCTAAAATCACTACCCTCCGGCAGCGAATTCTCGCTAGCATTACCTGAAACGGCTCCGGAATCGCGCCTCCGCTCGACGCGACGGCGCTTCTTAGGTTTCCGACCGACCCGAGGCTTGGCCTTGACAGTCTCCGGCTGAGATTGCAGAAGAGCAGCCACGTCAGAGGACTCCAACTCCTCAGAATCGCCGTCTTCGTAAACGATCTCGAAAAAACCAGAGGAAGGTTCGTAGGATTTCACTGTTCCCGAGACAAACCCAACCCCCTTCACCTCTTTCCTAACGGCTTTCCCCACGAACTCCATGGCAACAGTACAATCCTAACAAACGACGTGATCTCTGTGAGAAATTAAGGAGGGAAGTGAAAAAAGAGAAAATGATCGAAAGGGAAGATAAAAAGTGAGGGAAGAGAAACCAAACCCTTGGGCGCAGAGAGGAGGAAGAGAGCAATTGCGAGTGTTTGGGAATTGAAGTGCGAGGGAAGAGAAAGGGTGTGGAAGTTGGAACGAAAAGAAACCCAAAGGAGTCTCTCCCTCTCTCTAAAGTGGAAGTGGGTCAAACCAAGTAGTGCGGACTGCGGAGAGAGAAGAGAAACCAAACAGTAATAACAAATTCTTCGGATTTTAAACCATTTTTTTTCTCTACCAAATAACTCTCAATTTATAATGTCGATTTTTTTTTTTATTTATAAAAAATATCAAAAATGAAAATGCGTTGGTCAGAGAAAGGGCAATTCGTAGTTGGTTCGATCATCTTTGATCTCATTCTATCTGCAATTCTCTTCAGATCATTCAATGGTTTGCACACAAAAAGACTAACAAACCAGAAATGAAAACACAAGAAAACTGTTCTCTCCGTAAATTTATCAAAAAATCGAAATGTTAATAATTTGACATTACAGATCGCTTTGTTTTTGAGTTGGTCTCATATATTACTCTTTCCTTGTCTATTTCGTCTTAGGTTGATTTATAAGTGCGACTTTTATAATTTCATGGTATATTCATGGGTTGATAAAAAATAAAATAAAAATCGGTGTAAGAAATGTTTGTTTTTTTTAATTTGTGTTTGTCTTAAAACTAAAAATTAATGAGATATAGTTTTTATCAAGTGTTTCTTTGCAAGTTTTATATCTCGTGCCTTGTGTATGTTTAGTGAGAAAATCATATCAAAATCTAGAATGAATACATACATGATATTGTGATGTTCTGAAAATACTTGCGTCACAAGATTGATGACATGCAACCAAACATCTATCTATGAATATCTAAGCGTGGATTGTAAAAAATATAATTGTTAAGTCAATATAAAAATTGTATATTAGTTGTTAGTTGTTATGATGATGAAAAATTATGAAATATTCTAAGGGACTTGTGTTAGACTATTAATAACATGTAACTAAATATGCAATAATGTCTTTGATTTGTTGTTGAAAACTTATAAACATGCCTTTAAAGGAAGAGATAAAAAAAAATTGTTTCATATTTTAATGCTTTAGAAAGAGTAAATTTACATTTTCAGTGAAAACAACATATTTTTAAACACGAAATTTATAAATATCTAAATGTAAATCATAAAATGTAAACATTTATAATAACAAAGTCAATATAAAAGCCTACATTAATTGGTATGATGATGAAAAAATCTCCAAAATAAATTATGAATTATAGTATAAGGGGAGATGTTTATAAGAAAGATTAAACTAGCATTCAAAATCTAACTCTAACAAAGTAACAGGTAATCTTTCTTATAATAATGATGTGACACTTTTAGTCAAAATTTTAAATGACATTTAAGTAGAGTCCACTCAAATTCACCCCACATTGAGTTCGTTACAATAAAAGTTTTTTTCTTGTATTGTATTAAATCATATATATCAATCAAAATGGATATTGACACTCTTATTGCAATGATGGTCATTTTGCATAAGTATGTCGTAAAAAAATTATTTAAACAATATAACTACCAACAAAGTACAAGTTGATGGGCATTAGTATAGAGTAGGTTAAAATGAACTTTATACTATTTGTTCAATGTGTGGTTATTATCGTAATGAAGCCCAAGTTGCCTTGTTTAACCCACCTCCCCGACTAAAACCTATAAAGAATGTGCAAGTTCCAATTAGTAATGGCATGACTAAAATTGACAATGGCAACAATGGCGTCAATAACCATGACAATATTTATGATTTGAAAAATAATCACACTCCTACAATTTTGGAGTCAATCCACAATAATTATATGGAGGTTTTTCATAGAATGAGAAAATCGAATAATTTGTTCTAATTAGTTCAAAACAATACTTAATATTGTTAGCAGATACTTTTATGTAAATAGTTAGAAATCAAGTCAAAATAGTTAGAAATCAAGTCTTATAAGGCATGTATAAAAAGTGTGTTTATACATGTGTGAAATAATACAAGTTATCTTTCATCCTCTTATCTCATGTTTAATGTATGTGTAAGGATCAGTTTAAAACACCAACAACTGGTATTAAAAGTTAGGTTTTCGATCTTAGAGATAGAGATAGAGTTTTTTTTTAAATGGCAACAACATTAGGAAATCAACTTCTATTCCTATTCTCAATGGGAATGACTATGATCGATGGTGTGCTCAAATGAAGGCTATCTTTTAATTTCAAGATGTGAATCAAATTATCAAGACAGGAGTCCAAGATTTGATGTTAAAGCAACAAATCCACAAAAGGCAACACTTCAAGAAGCAAACAAGAAGGATGGGAAGGCTTTATTCATCATTCATCAAAGTGTTTATACAAATATTTTAGATAATGTATTAGGGGCTAGTATTGCAAAGGAAGCATGGGACACTTGCAAAGTCCTATGAAGGCACTAACAAATTGAAGAAAGTGAAGTTGTAGACTTTGAGGAGGCAGTACAAGCTAATGTAGATGAATGATCAAGAGAGTGTGGCTGAGTATTTTACTCGCATGTTGACCATCATCAATCAAATGAAGAATTATGGTGACAAGATAGAAAATGGTGTTGTAATTGATAATATCTTAAGGACCCTCGCTCTAAGGTTCGGTCACATTGTTGTTGTGATTGAATAAGGAGTTGGAATTGATGGGATTAAGGTTGATGAACTACAAGGCATTCTTAAGGCCCAATAAATCAAATTAAATGAAAGGAACTATATAAGATCTTCAAATTAATCTTTGCAGGCACAAACATCAAAAGTGAACTCAAATAAGAACAAGAAAAGAAAAGGAAATTGGAAGAAAGAGAGAAATCAAGATGACGAGTCATCGAATTCTGCACCCAAGAAACAACAAAATTTTGAAGATTAAAAAAAAAATGATGCACCCAATAAGGAAAGGATAAAGAAACTTGGTAGAAAAACAAAACAATTTTATAAATGTCAAAAGTTTGGTCACTTTGCTAAAAATATAAAGGAAAGAAGGTTCCAAGGAACTATGATGTATCAATTGGTACATGATGAAGATTCTAATGTAGTGGTATGTTATTCATGGCAACAACCACTTATGATGAAAAAAGTACAAATTTGTCGTACTTGGATACATGGTGTTTAAATCACATGATAGGGTGCAGAAAATGGTTTGCTTCTATGGATAATAAGGTGAAAAGCAAAATCAAGTTTATAGACAACAATTCTATTAATGCTAGAGGAATAGGCAAAGTGATGGTTCAAAGGAAAGATGACCAACAAACTCCCATTATTAATGTTCTTTTTGTTCTTAACACAAAGAGCAATTTATTGAGCAGAGGACAGTTGCTTGAAAAAGGGTTTTCAATACATATGGAGGACAACTATATGAAGTTGTAGGATCCATTTTGTAAGATTGTTCTGAAGTCAAATCTATCTATAAATAAGGCATATAAGATTGAACTCCAAATTGGAGAACAAAAATGCTCGAAAACTTTGAGTGATAAGAATAGGATGTGGCATCATAGATATAGTCATCTGAATTTCAAAAACTTAAGTGATTTGAAAAACAAAAAAAAAATGGTACATGGCTTGCCTGACATTGAAATTCCTAAGCAATTATGTTTTTAATGTTGTGAAGCTAAGAAACTTAGAAATTCTTTCAAATTTGGAATGCCTAATATATCAAATGATAAACTAGAAGTGGTGTATTGTGATGTGAGTAGAGCCTTTGAGATACAATCCTTGGGAGGAAATAGTTATTTTGTCTCCTTCATTGATGAGTTTACTTGAAATATCTAGATCTATTTCATCAAACAAAAAAAGTGAATGTTTGAAAACTTTAAGAAGTTTACACTATCGAGTGAGAAACAAAGTGATAAAGTTCTAAATATTTTTAGGACTAATGGAGGAGGAAAGTATAACTCCAACAAGTTTCAACAGTTACATGATAAAAAAAAGAGTAGTTCATGAAGTTACTGCACCATATACACCACAACATAGTGGTGTAACAAAAAGGAAAAACATAAGCATTCTGAATATGCCTAGAAGTACGATGAAAGGGAAAGAAATGTTACATTATTTATGAGGAAAGGCAGTGTTTACTGTTGTGTATATTCTTAATAGGAGTCTTATAAAAAATTTGCAATGATGTACTCCTCAAGAGGCATGTCCAAGTTATAAGTGCAAATCACTTTCAAATTTTTGGCTCATTATGCTACAAACATGTGCCTAACCAACTTAGGAAGAAACTTAATGCTAGAGCAGAATCAATGGTTCTCATAGGCTACATTTAACAGGTGACTACAAGTTGTATAATCCTATAAATAAGTAGGTTCACATCAGTAGAGATGTCCTCATTGATAAGTCATAAAGATGGGATTGGTCTACACATGACAAGGATGTTCTTATGCACTTTGATGACTCAATTAATATTCAACATTTTACTGAATCACTTGATCATCAGCGAAGAAGATCTTAGAGGATAAGACAAACACCTCATTCACTTAAAAACTATGAAGTCTATTATGAGACAACAATCAAGGTAGAGGGAGAATTAGTGCATTTCACCTTACTTGCTAAATCAAACCCATAAAGTCAAAAGGAAGCATCTCAAGGTGTTCAGCCATGAAGAAAGAACTAAAGTCAATTGAAAAGAACGAGACTTGAGAATTAGTTGATTTGGCAAAAGGAAATAAGCCAATTGATGTGAACTGGTAAGCTTGTTGCAAGAGGATTCCTACAAAAGCATGGCCAATACTATAATGAAGCTTTTGCTCCGGTAACAAGGCTTGACACTATGAGATTGATTGTAGCAGCTAAAAACTATAGAAGTTGGTCAATCTACCTTTTTGATATAAAATTAGCTTTCCTAAATGGTCCTATACAAGAAGAAGTTTACACAATACAACCACTTGGGTATGTAGTGATTGAATAAGAAAATAAGGTTTACAAGCTAAAAAAGGCGTTATATGGCCTTAAGCAAGCTCTAAGAGTTTGGAACTTGAGGACTGACAACTTTTTGAGTCAATAGAAATTATATATATGTATTATTGAGCATGGCATCTACATAAGAAATCAAAATAATAATCTACTTATCATATGTCTCTCTGTAGACAACCTTTTGATTACTATAAGTAATCCAAGAGATATCAAAAGAACAACTATGCAGGAATTTAAGATGACTGATTTAAGAGAGCTATCATACTTCTTAGGTA